CCCAGCATGGTCTTCGGAGTTGCGCTGCAGGCGTAAGGATCAGGCCCCTTTTGACGTGCTCGTGGTGTACTCGAGGTAGTTCTAGATCAGAGAGAGCTCTCTGACAGACACCCGAGTGGCCTCTGTGAAGTTTCTTTCGAAAATTGTCCTGAATTTTTTGCAGAGGATGTTTGGAAGTGCTACTTCCAAGCTGGGCTTGTCTGTCGCGTGTCAGGTCCCTTTTCCTGAGAACCGTGCCGATCCTCATTGTATGCTTTTTTCGTTGTGTTTGATAGGATTTTTACATTCAAAATTAAATTGGTGCAGCCAGTTTTTCAGGATAAACTGATTGGGGTTTTCTGAAGCAGAGCTGAAGTGTTTGGTTGCTGCCCACTTCTAGCTGTGCTGCTGCTCTCCCAAAGCCTCTCCTTCGCCAGCGCTGTGTTCCCGGTGTACATCCAGACAAACCAGGTGAACAGAGACTCCACTCAGCCACCCCTTTGTTTTTTATTTTATTTTCCCAGTTCCCTCTTCCAGCTGTCTTAGGGATTGCCTGCTCCCTTTCCGTGTACCAGTTGCGCGCTCCCGTCTCCGGCGAGCGTGGTTTACACTCTGCTGCTCGAACAGGTCCGTCTGGTTCACCGTGGTGGAGACCTGCTCTGCTGAATCACAGCCGGTGGCAAGTCAAGGGAAAAATGCAGGTGGTGGGTTGTGACCAAGCCGAGTAACAGCAAATTGTCACCTGTAGCATGTACCTTAGTTGTACATTTTCTCCGTTATGTTGTTTCTCCACTATGTTTGCCTGCATCCTGTCTCCATCCACACGGCTCCTCCGCTCCGTGAAGCACCGTAGCATTGCAGATCAGGGAAGCATTTGTGGAGCAGAAGGGCTAAAGATCTCCTCTAATCTGCAGTTGTGTTGTCCAGCCTGACTGGTCTCCCAGTTTCCCTTGCCATAAGGCTTCCATCCAGCTTTTTTAGTTAAACTCGACGGCGTAAACGTGTCTCTCTTCTCCCTGGTGCTTTAATGCTGTCTGTCCACATATGCATAGTTTGGTTTGAAAATGTTCACTTATAGCTGTTTTTAGAGATTTTTTTTTTTTTTTACTTTTTAGTAATAGTTAATCACCAAAGAATGCGTTCATGTTGAGTTAAAGTTGGTTGTGATCACAGAATGAAGCCTTGGGGTGATTTATTGGTTTTGAGCATGATTTCAAAACTTGCTTTGACATTAAGAAAACTAGGAAGTGAAGAGATAATCGCTCCCAAATATGCCCCGTGGGCAAACAAGGCTTGCTTGCCATCCAGCAAACATTGCAGGAGAGGCAAAAACGCAGCTGGCTGGTCCTGGTCTTCCTGGGGAGGAGGAGGTGGTCTGTGTGAATTTCTGTAATTCCTCCTACAGTAATACACCCCAGAGAGTGGGGCTGGTTAGGGGGCACGGCGAGAAGGTGGGCTTTCCAGAAGGTGCTCCTTGGCCTCCGGTACCACCACAGGAAGCTATTTTTTGGCATGCCTCCCTGCTACCTTTCTCATTTCCTTCCCCCATTTCATGGGAACACGGTGTCTGTTAAAGCCAGCCCTGGGGATAAAAGCAAACCAGGTAAAAAACTCCCGAGCAGTCTGGTCTGTAACTTTTCATGATGCAGTTTCACTGCCTGGCTGTCGATTAAAATCACGTAACGTTTGCAGAGTGGTCAAAACTAACAGGCAGCTCTGAAGTGCCGTTAAGTGACGTGTTAACTGCAACACCACCACCTGGTTTTGGCCTTCTTTTGTAATAAATTAATAAATTCGTCTCTCTCCCTTGCCTCCTGTGTCCTTATCACAGGCACTCAGAGGTCAGCAGAACAGGTGTATGATGCTGTTACCAGCCCCTTGAAATGAAGGGCTGTTAACGTACCATTTCTATATGAGAAGGTGAGTTTTTGGACATCCTGGATGTTCTCTGACAACCTATCTCTTCTAGAACTGATCGCAGAAAAAAAGAGGTTAAGGTTTAACCCTGCGCTCACTTTAGGAAGAAGTAGATCTTATTTTCTTTTTGGACAGTAATATTCAGTTATCACCAGAAATGAGTAGCTTCTTACAAAAATAATTTATTACTTAGTGTGTTAGAGATCTGCTTGTGTATAAAGTTTGCATTCTTGCTACTGTGTCCTTTCTCTATGTCTACAGGAAGTAAAAGGGAGATGTTTGCAGCCTTTAATTTTTTTCTGCTATATGCTTTTTCTAGTCTTGGTAGTGCTTTTGGAAAATCTTGGCTATTAATGTTCTCTTTAAGGCTTGTTCTAATAAATACAGTCAAAAGAATTGCATTGTAAAAAAAAAAAGAGTAATTATTTTTAAAGGAGGCCTTTCCTCACCTGTGAAGCAAACCTATCAAAAATGGACTCAAAGGAAAATAGCGTTTGGTAGTAGAGATTCCCGTTTTTGTTGAACGATTTCATTCATGTAAATTCTTAAAACAGACAGAAGTGTGGTTCTCGTGTAGCACCTGCTGTACCTGCAAGTATGCAAAGTTCTCCTGTTAGGAAGATTGGAAAAACAGTCCCACAGGGAAAACCCCTTTATTTTCTTAAAATATTTCAGAGCTCCGATCGTCAGCGTACTGAGAAAATGTATCTTGGACTTAAGGAGCTTGAGTTGTAAATCTTCTTTGAAGATAAAGAATGCTATTTTTAAAAATGACTCGGACTCAGGGCAAGAAAAGTAGGTTAAAGCCGAGTTTGCATGTTGGAAATCAATCTGTAACCACTGGAGTAACGGTGAGTTACTTGAAGGGTGGACTTCTGGTTTTGCTAACCAAATATTTACCTAACTGCTCTTTTGATTTCACCAGACTGATTCTCCCTGAAAAATAATTTGGCTTCTGTGCCTTCAAATCCGTTTTGGAGACGCTCTAGAAATACACTTGGGGCAGCAGAAGCGCTTTCTGGCTTTGGTTTCACGTAGCCATCAAGCTCGAAGTATCTGGAGATGGCGGGAAGAGGAGCGGCCCATCAGCAATTTTGGTTCCTCCTCTGGCATTTGGAGATGAACCAGTTTTCTGTGTGTGTTCCCAGTCCCTGCACAGGAAGGGTCACGGCCAGCCCGCTGCCTTTTGCTGAGTTAGGATGTGTTAGTCCAGGTGATGTTACTTCGTTGTGCATCTCCTGGGTGCTGGGTTGCAAGATGGTGCTTCCTGTCCCGTGGGTTATGAGGGAACAGCAGTGCCATATGGCAACTGTTTTAATCATCCCAGTCTTCCGGGGCTCGTTATGAAGGAGTTCCAGCAGGTCAGGAGCTGGTAGCTGAACACTTCTAAGCAAATTAAACTGGGTATTTAATGAAGGTGCTGTTGTTTCTCTTCTAAAAGGACTTCAGCTGCTCTAGGATGGGAAGGGCTTGAGCTGAGATCTCTGGTTAGAGGTGAGTTAACCTCTTCCGCTGTTTTCCACGCCGGAATTTTCTACAGGTCTGCACTGTCACAGGTCAGGGATTAACTTCTGTTAATCTGAAGATGCATCAGATTTAGCTCAGCCTTTGGAAATATACCTATAGAATCGAAGAAAGCAGCACGTGGCCGAAGTTAAAAATTGCCAGGGTTTGTTCCTTGGGCGCAGAGGCTGTGTTTCTGACCCCGAGGTGCGCGTCGTGGGGGCATCCAAGCTATCCTCCCCCCAGCTTGTTGGCATTATTGCAGCAAAGATTGCTTTTGTGGGGTAAGGTGGGTGAAAAAGAAGTGAATCTTGGAAAAAGACAACAAAATTACACTCCTTTGCTTTTCTAGATGGAGAAAACGTTGGGTTTTGTGTGTCAAGTGTTTCCAGCAGTAACAGAAGCGTATTCGGATATTCCGTTAGCAAGAAGCTGTACTTTGGGAAACAGCAGTTCGTGTTGTCTCCGGTTGGGTCAGCGTTGGGATGTGCTTGATATCTGCCAAAGGGAGAGCAGCCTGAGACTCGGACATGTTTCCTAGAAAATCAGCTGCTGGCCGTGTTTTTTCCAGCCCACATCTGTTCGTTGACTTTTGTTACTCGTAGTAGAGCGGGAGTCTCGGTTCGCGTCGCTGAAAGCCCTTCCCAAAGCTGCTTGCCATAGCCAAGTCCGTGGAATAAATTTAGGAAGTGAATTTTGGAAAGGGCTGGGTTCTGCACTCACTTCCTAGCGTACTGCTCCAGTTTGGATTTTAAACGGGAAAAAAATGCCTATAAAACAGAAGATAATTTTTGCCCTATCACTTCCATTAAACTTTTTTTAAAAAAATAAATTATTTCCCAGAAACGACACATTTTTGACCATTATATTTTCAAATCATACTTATGTTTGGGTTGATGTGTTTTTTTTTTCTTTGTTTGTTTTTACATTCTTGAAGTTCAGTGCTTGGAAAATTCTATGATGTTGTGGAAAGAATTTAGGTATGTGGGGATTAGAGGACTTCTGTAATCTTACCTTTGAAATGCAATCCAGAGGATAGTATTACTGAGATTCTGCCCAATGGTTTTACCTAGAAAGTTATTCAAGTCCTGGATGCATCCCAGAAGTCTAAATATATGATGGTAGTTAGTAAAAGGAACTGGTAACTGGTAAATACCTTGCTTCCCAAAGAGCATTTTCCGTAGGTATTTTACTTCAGAGGATATTTGAATTGAGTAAGACATCTTTGAGAGCTAACTTTGTCAAAATGTGAAATATTTTCTAATAGCTGCAGGTGTTTTGGAAATATTTGTGTTTCAGTTTTATTAATCAAATATCTCCTGGAAAGATGTGACAAATGCTTTCTTGGGATATTCTATGAATATCTGTTTTCCTATTGTAAAAAAATCACCTAAAAATGGGTGCAGAAGCTGCCCCTGTACTTCACCTTTGATACCCACTTGGTAGGGGACACACCGTTAGTGTTACTAACTTCCATTACTCGATCAAAAGCTAATTTTGACTTCATGGCTTCCCATTGTTTTATAGTTGCACTGAAAAATAAGCTCCTTTTCAAAATGTGTCCAAATAAATGTTTAAGGCTATGAGCAAAACCAGCGACGATGGCGTTTGCGGTGTAGACAAACTTAAGACGTAGGAGTTAAGCAGTTTTTCTTACTTCTTTCAGAGTTCCCTTTGGTTTTCCCAGTGCCCCCAGCTGTGTTTGGTGTGCTGAAGGGAACAGCCATGCCTTTAGTGGGCTGATTTTCTGCAAATTCATCCAGTCCCTTTCCCCTTCGAGTCCTCCAAGTCCACCCGCCACCCGCTGTGAACTTTCTTTTTGCTGCCCATTAGTGTGAATGGTGGGCTTTAAATGGCACTTTCCAGAGCAGAATCTTTTATTCAGATTAAATCTGTCTTTTTATACCTACTTTTTCATATTTTGACATTGGAAAACTACTTATAAAGTTGCCTTCTTTCCAGCCCTGTTACTTCATGCTCCTTAGCAAAACAAAACTGTCTTCACTACTTGTCGAGAAGATTATTTTCTCCCGTATTCCAGAGTATTTTGTTCAATTGCTAGGCAGGCTAGCTGCCCTGGTGCCTTGCTTAGGAATGTTCCTAGAATCCCCTTCTGGAACGTGTAGCACAGAGAAATGTGTTGGTGAGGCAGAGATGTGTAACTGGTGTAACTGGTCTTTATGTGGAGCAGCAGGGCTGCCACGAGGCCACAGGAAAGTGTTGTGGTTGCTGTAGATATGCTGTAGGTTCCCAGTAGTTGGGAATTAAAGGTGATGAGGTGGTACCTTGAAATGGATGCATTTCCTTAGTTTTTCTCAAAAAAAACCCTTGTGAAAGTCGATAATCTGAATGTGGGGTTTGTTTCCTTCCATTTTTCGGTTGACTAGTGATCCATAATCATGTGTTGCTGGTGTTGTTTTTGTTTAGTTTAGTGTTGTTTTTTTTTTTATTAGTGGGTTTTTTTGTGTGTGTTTTGGTTTTTTTTCTGTGGTTTATTTTTTCCCTCCCTCTGTGATTGCTAAGAGCATTTTATTCTCTGAAGTTGCAGGAGATAGAAGGTGATAATACAGCAGTAGTGTCTTCCCCCCTTTTCTTCTCCCTGGCATATCCATCTACTTCTTTTACAAAAAGTCAGAACTTTGGGTTGCTTCTAACTTCTTAACTGCTGTTTTTTTACTGTGGAGGCTTGGGTCTTTGGCTTCCTGGTGAGTTCTTCCCCTTCCTACTCTTTGCAGTCCCTTGAAGTAGACGGGGTTGATCATCAGGTTGGCTAATACGATGTGGATATCAGACTGAGGAGGACAAATTGTAAAGCAGTTTAATGTAACCTAATTACTACTTTTGTCCTAATACTTTCTACTGCTCCCAGCACCAGTTTGATCTTGTTTATTTGTTTTTTTAAATTATTTATGTAGTTTTCTAGTATCTACAGGTGTTTCCCCTTGCTGGCCCCACCATCTGCTGGATCGGGTACATTCATAGGGTGAGTTAACACCAAAGGGTGATTTAAAAACCAAAAATACTAACACAAAATGTAACATTTTAAGTACTCGTAGACTAAATAACAGAAAGGACTGATGGCATTTTTAAGCAATCTCCATGTGAAAATTCACAAATCAGTTGCTATAAGTTTCCACGATCCCTGCAAAGGCTGAATTCCTGAACCAGTGGTGATGTGGAAATAATTATATACAGGCAATTCTAAATGTTTAAAAGCAGGGAATTCTTCCACACCCAAAGCCCAGCAAATACCAAATAGGAGAAGGGAAGCTGAGATTGCCTCCGCAGTGTGTCTGAAGCAGGGATGAGAAACAGGTTAGCTGGTGTTTTGTCAAAAGGTTTCTTTGGTGGCAAAATATTCTCAGGGTTGTTGTTGTTTGGGTCCGTAGACAAAACTTTAAATAAAGTCATATGTAATCATAGAAACTTTTTTTCCCCTACTGATAGGCGTAATCACAAGCCTTTCTGTTATTTAGTCTACAAGTACTGAAAATGTTACATTTTGTGTTAGTATTTGTGTTTTTTAAGTCATCCTTTGGTGTTAACTCCAATTTGAAGACTTTTGAGAGTCATGTTTGTACGCAGAAGTTACGTTCACGTGCAGATTGTTCCGTTTACAGTATTTATTGATGTATGGAACAAGCCCCTACAAATGTCCGTGTTACAAATTCAAAAAAAGAAAAAAAAAAACCACTCTGGGTAGCTTAGAAAAAAATAGCATAATCGGGTGTGTGGTTTCCGTCAGTTTTTAGATTCTAGCAAGTGAAATTCAAATGTTAACTCCTTTCTTGTCAACTGCTATCACTAATTTCTTTTGAAGAATCCACTTAACCACCAAATTAATTCTTCTTTTTCGAATTGCTCATCACTTTGGCCGTTACACCCTGGATCCTACAGACTCATCCTCAGTTCCAGGAGCTGGCGTGTTGACGGAGCCGTGTTTGTGTTGCTACGCGTTGATTTTCCTGCAGCGTCCAGCTGCTCGTTTTCAGGATTGCTCCTCTTTAACTGTGTGATTTTCAGGGAGTTTTAATTGCCTTCCACCTCTGTTCTGCAAACACAGCACCGTAAAGGCACGTAGTAGCAGTGGAGTAGAAGTATTTCTAGCAATGATTAAACTGCCTCTTCAGTTTGAAATGTGTTTAGGGGCAGCAGAGTGCTTTATGTTGAAGCAGGGTTGTTTTTTTATCTAGGTTGGAGAAGACTGTGTAAGAAGAGAAGACCTTTGTTCTGAGAAGTAAAATAAACACATAGTTTTTAAACTTTTTAGCTTCGCAGTACAATTCAAGGCCACTTCATGGCTTGCATTCCACTTTAGCTAGAAAAGAAAATGCTAAAATCCTAGTAGTTCTTGGGGTTTTACATGCATTAACACCTATATGCACGTTTATAAAAATGTAACTGGTGGACAGAAATACTGAGTGTGTTTGGTTTTACTGTGCTGTTGGACAGATGAGATGGATAGTAACGTGTAATTTTATTGTGTTGGTATTTTTCCTCCTACAGAGAAGATGGAGAGCTAGAAGATGGTGAAATAGATGATGCAGCCTATGAAGACGTGAAAGAACATGGTACAAAAGGTGACGATAAACAGAAAAATGAAAAAGGACATAGAAAATCGCGGAAGAAACGCAAAAAAGAAAAAGAAAAGAAAAAATCAAAGAGGAGGCGACGGGATAAGCATAAGGTTAGGAAATGCAAACCAAAATACTGGAGGTGCTGGTTTTGATTCCAGGTTTCCAGGTTTAGACAAGAATCCAGGGAATTAGAGAGGAAATGGAAAATGGTTTTATTGCTATTTAGGCAATCTTCGGTCTCTGAGGGCAGGTTTTAGGATTCCTGTCTTACCAGTGCGCTTCAATGATAAATAATTTGTTTAAATAGACTTTCAACACATGGAAGGAACATTCCCACGTTTCAGTAACAGTTTTTGTGGGGTAAGAGACAATAAGCCATTAAATAATCCAGGCATAGCACGTTTCAAATGGTAGTTTGGAAACTTGCTTGTTAGCTTTGCCTAAATAAGCTTGGTTTTCATCTGGTTGTGTTTAAAAGGAGCACAAAATCAGACTGTGGGTATAACTACGCTATTTGTTACACACATCTTCATCGGATGCTCATTTATTTCAATATTTCTATTAATAGCAGTGTACAAAATACTGACATTTATGAGCATTTTCCTCTCTGCCGTTAAGCAGCGGTGTAAGTTAAGCCCTGGCCACTGACAACAGTAATGGTAGCTGAACCATAGAGATTTGAGAGTTTTTTAGGATAAGAGGCAATTTATCAGTTTCACTTTTTGTGCTAATTGTCATATTTATGGAAAGAAAAGATTTCGTGCTAGTGAAGCGAACTCTTTAGTAAAATTCATTAAGATAATGTGTCTATATATTTTAATTGACTTAAATAAATGCAAGAGGTTTATAAAATTTTAACCTAGAAAGTTAAACCTGATGGTCCTTTTTTAAAAATCACAGAAATACAGAATTCTCACGTGGTTTCCCTCTAAATTTTCTGCCAAAAAGTGAATCTAAATAAAACACTTGTAACGCAGTACTGCTGAGTTTTCTCCCGGGCAAAATGACAGGATGCCAATCATTTCCACGGTCACATGCAAGTTCCTAGCCATCTCCCAGATTCGTTAGCCTGCCAGAAGCAGCCCTGCTGTGCCACAAAGAAGCAGGGCTCAAAGGGACCCGTAGGAAGCTGATATAACCCGACGAAACCACGTAGCCCTCGGTGCACGCAGAAGCCTCCTCAGATCAGATCTCTTTCTCTGATAAAAAGAGCAGGTCATCAAAGAGTGTGCTTTCTTTAGCTTCCCCCAGAAGCAGAGCTTCGTGAGAATTAAGAGAATATTTTCATTTATTGGGCTAATGCTTCCTTTGAGTACACACACAGCAGACCAGTTACACACAGAATTATACAAGAACGTTTGAGAGAGCTATTTTCTTTTTTTTTTTTTCAGCATAACTCCCCCTCCAGTGATGACAGTTCAGACTACAGCCATGACTCTGATATTGAGCGTACAGAAAGACCACATAAAAAGAGTAGCAGCTCTTCATACAGAGATTATGATTCTTCGTTCAGTCAGGTAGTATCGTTTGAAACTCATTTCTCATGTTCTTTGTTTAGGTGGGATTTAAAAACCGCAAAGGTCAATGATGCAGGTTTTGAAGGCTGACTTCATCACGGGGCTCGTGCTCACACGTTTCAGGAAACACGTCAAGTTCTCGTCTCCTTGGGTAGATTTCCAAATGTAAAGCATTATCTGTGGCATGAGTGTAGGTGGTGTAAACAAGCCTGATGCTTTTTTTTTCCTCCGTCAGGCAACAATTAAGATATCTTTGTTATCGCCTGCATTGGATTTAGACTGTACTGAGAGGAAACAGTTCTTGAAAAGCTGACTTTAAATATCTAGAGATGATTCTGCTTTCTGATAGTTCATTCTGTCCTGGCTTTTCTGAGTCCTCTGGGTGAAATAGAATGCCATTCTCTAAAGCTGCGATAGAGTATCTAGAGGCTTGATGAAACTCTGGTGCTTCAGAGGAGAGAAGACTTCTCCTTTTAGCCTGAAACCACTCCAGAAACCTCTAAGCCAGCCTAATTTATTAACGAACTGAAGATCCTGTCTGCAGAAATTGGAGAAGGCACAGTGCTGGCTTAGGAGAGGTCATAAGCAGTGTTTCATCCTGGCTGATGGAGACAGGACAGATTGCATCGTCTGTGTCCAAGATTGTCAAGATATTGAGATGATGAAGGGAAAGATTTCATTTTAATTGTATTTCATCTAAGTAGCACATAGAATACTTAGGACTGCATACGTTAAAAATGCTTTGTGAGCCCCACTGCAAAGTTTTCTGGAGTATAGATGCTGTTCTTTTTTATCTTTTTTTCCTATTTTGATGCATTCAGAATCAAAAGTAGTAGTTTTTACTGAGTAACTGATTTTCATTGTGCAGCATCGATGCCTGCTTCTGCAAATCTGGTAGACAGCATGACATAAACCAGCATAAAAGCACTTGGTTTTGTAGAGGAGTTTGGAGGGGTGTTTTTTGAAATACTGAGTTGCTTCTAAACAATGCAATCCCTTTCATGCAGCATGGACACGTATCAGGAAATTACATGAGTTCACAGAAAATGCAACATAAAAAACCTGTAAAAAGTAAGGAGTATGACGACTACAGTCATTACAGTGATGAAAACTTTGGGAATTATAATGAGGAAGAAAAGGACGAAGATTTTGCTGATCAGCTTAAACAGTACAGGCAAGCTAAAGAGACCTCCAGTACTGATTTAGGACCTCCGTTCCCGAAAGAACCCCTGAAAAAACAGGGGATGAAGGGGATCCAGAAAGGTAAGGCACTTTGAATCGTTCACTGTAGTAGTGGGTGGTGGCAGCAGTTGTGTCGAGCATCGTTTCAGGATGTTTGTCTCGAGAGCTGAATGAAGCGAGCTGCCAGTGGTGGCTTTCCTCTGAGCTGGCACCTCCCATCAGTAAGTGATAACCTTGTTCATCGTGAAGGAGTAACGTCCTGTGTTCATGCTGATGCCCATATTGGAGAAGGATTTAATGTGTACGTAGTAAATAAAGAAGTTGCAGCCTTCCAGTACTTAAAGGCGGCCTACAGGAAAGCTGGAGAGGGACTTTTTCCAAGGGTGTGTAGTGATAGGACACGGGGAAATGGCTTTAAACTGACAGAGGGGAGATTTCGATTAGTTAATAAGGAAGAAATTCTTCTCTCTGAGGGTGGTGAGGCACTGGCACAGGTTGCCCAGAGAAGTTGTAGCTGCCTCATCCCTGGCAGTGTTCAAGGCCAGGTTGGATGAGGCTTTGGGCAACCTGGTGTAGCGGAGGGTGTCCCTGCCCATGGCAGGGGGGTTGGAACTGGATGATCTTTGAGGTCCCTTCCAACCCAAACCGTTCTGTGATTCTATGATTCTAAGTAAAACCCTTGTAAAAAGCCAAGATCTTTGTTATGCAACTGCTTGAGTAAGAAATCATAGGGCCGTAGAGTGACTTTCTGGTGTAGTTTATGAAAGTCTGAAATGGGACCCGATTAGGGGGAGGAATGTAAATATATCAATTCCAAAACCTCATTTAGACCCCTGCTAAAAAAATGAAGCACCTAGGAATTTTGATAGGTGCCTGAGTACTTTTATTAGTATGTCCCTCAAGTGTACTCGTATCCTTTTATTTTTTTTTTCCCAACTTTTCTTGCATTCAAAGTTGGGCCGATACAAATGCTGGTGAAAAAGTATTCCTCTTAAGCAACGTATTCCTAAAAGAGTCCTGCTGCCCTTATTTCATGCCTTGCTGAAGCAAGCCTAGTTATGGAAACGTTCTTCCTTGCACCTTTCATTTGGTGTCGGAGCGTTTCCTTGCCGTGGTAGTGCAGTTCGCTGGGCCACTTTTTGTCTCTGGCCTCCGTATTGGGAAGGGAATTTCTGACGACCCGGTCGTCTGGGTCAGGCGACGGAGGCAGTGTGTGCCATGGACAAACGTAGCCTGATCCACCATCTAGAAACGCTTAACTTGTTCTCATCTCTTTTTCTGTGAGATCAAGTTCTTCCTTCAGAAACCGCTGCTTCAATTTGCAAAATTCTCTCCCTTTAATCGTGGCTAAAGGTTTGTCTCCCAGGCAAAATTTGGGCAGGGTTTTGTATGACAGTGTGAATACCTCACCAGTTCTCGGGAAGATCCTGCGTGCTACACAAAGCTGTCTTTCATTTACTACAGTGAAGATTTATTGGATGCTGGTTGGGTTCACAGTAAAATGAATTGGCAAAAGATGGGCAGAATCTTTTTAGCAGAGACAAAAGTGGCTTTTGATGTGCTGCTTGGCAATACTGCTTCAAAATCTTGTGTCTGCAAATCACCTGAGATGAAGTCGAGGTGTTTTTGCTGGAATCAGCCTTGCTGCCGCCTGAAGCGAGCGTGATGTCCGCAGGACTTTCTAACTGGTTTTCTTTGGGTTTAAATTGATGACAAAGCAGACACTGTCTCGGGGGTTTTAGTGGAGACCATGACTCCAGGCATGCTGGTAGCTGGATAATTACCCTCTTGAGGCTTCCAAACAGTTACCAGTAAACCATTAATACCATTAATATTCAGTTTGTCAGCCTGCTATTGATCTGGAGAGCTTTTTGGAGAGCAGGTCGCACAGAATTACAGTGGGCTGGTGTAGTTGCGCTTGCCACCTGGTGATTCCGACTGCAAGAAGGTGGATGTTCAGTTTGTTGGATGTCACTAGGGAACCGTTTGTCTTTACTTTCTGAGGGTGTTCAAAGAGGTTGTTGCTGTTTTTCAGGTATTTCTCAAAGAGGTAATAATTACAATGTCGGCCGAGGGCGCGGAATGCAGAAGAAATTGAAGCGTAAAGATCGTGGAAGGGGAAGAGGGGGCAATAAAGGATCCGATGGCTTTCACGAGGTATGTGGAATTAAAGTTGGATTCCTAATGTAGTTGTTTCAAGTCACTGGATGCTTTGCTTTAATGGAGGAGTATTGAAAAATAGCTTTAAACTTTCTTTAAAAAATATATTTAATAGAAAAAATATTTTTAAAAAATATCTTTAAACTTTTTTCTCTTACCTAGGAAATTCCCAGAATTTTCCAGCACTTGATGTACAAAGTAGGGTTGATAACTTAATACATAATTTTCTCGTTTTTCTTGGAAATATGGAAAAACTAACAGAAAGTGGTTTATGAGCTCTGGTTTTGAATGATGCATGAACTTCAATGTTAACTTTATCTGAAATAAGTTGTTTTGCTACTACCAGTTCACCGCAGATTTTTCAGCAAAGAAAATGGATGCCTTCACAGCTTTTGCCAATTTTTGTCTGAATCATCAAGAACTCTCCTTCTCTTTCCAAAGCTGTGACTGGGGAAATATATACGACCTTGATTTTCATTTAGTAATTTTTTGCGCAGGAGCGAGAGAAGACACAGTGTTCAGCATTGCCACAGTGTTTGTAAATTCCTCACTCCAGTCTTCATTTAAATGAAAACCAATACAAAATTGATGATTAATGGATCAAATCCATCCGTGGCTGGAAACCATTATTGAAGCTAAATGGTATTTAAGTCTGTATAGTGCAACTCAGCTGTCTGTGGTTCTCCTCCCTCCTGCACCCAAGAATGCACACGGCTGCCGTCTCGCTGATGCGGTGGTGGATGATTCAGCCCTGTTAATTTTCCCCATGTTCTCCAGCTGGCCCAGCTCTCTGGGGCTCCTGGGTGGTCCCCATCAGATGTTCCCTACCCTGCCCTCCATGTGGTAGGGAAAAGGGCAGCTGTTTGATCTCCCAGCACCATGCCTGTTTGTAGGACTCCTCCTTCCTGATGCTGTAGAGCGTGCCCTGTCGACCAGTGCTTCTCCTGAGCCATAGGGAAGGCTGGAGGGGAGGAGGCAGCTGCAGGCAGGTCCCAGCAGGACTGAGAGGCGGGATACAAAAACCTGGGCTTCTGGCTCCAGCGAAACAACGATGCGGATGCTGTGCGGTGCGGTGGGGTAACCACCAAGACTCTCGAGCCGCACGGTGACGTCCCTGGGATTCTTGGAGACACAGTGGGAGCGTTTCAGCCTTCCTCGGGCCATTGTTTCAAGTGCTGTGTGGCATGGGACAGCACTGGTTTGCAATCCTGCCAGAGAGACTTGTGGCATCGTGTCCGTGTGATGTTTGCATTAATCTTTGAAGAGCATCAGTTATTAGGTTCGAAGCTGCTGTGTCTGAAGCAGCTGAGGTTTCTCTGGCATTAATGTGTTCAGAGTAGAAAATGGATGTTGACTGATCCAGGAATGGCATTTCTAGCTCGAAGACTTCTGCTTCTCAATGTCAACAAATTCCGCTCGTCATTCTTAGTGTTAATGTTCTGTGACATTGCTTAATTTGCCGAGCAGAACGAGACCGGGGGCTTGATGTGCTGCTGATGGTGTGTGCTCACCATGCGGTGTGGTGACTGTGGACAACCACATCCGCTCCGTTTGAGAAGTCCCTACCCAGCAGTCAGATCCCTGCTCGTTTTCGGGAAAACGGGAAATGGGAATGGGCCGTTTCCTGCTATCACCGGGTCAGTAGGCAACACCTGGCACTGCACAGAAGACATTCCCTGCTTCCCTCTGTTGCAGTGTCACAGACATCAGTTTGTTAAAGGCCATCTACTTCCACGGCCTCAGGAGCTCTGCCAGGCCCCCTCAGCACCCCTCCCAGACTCTCTGGTCAGAGAGGTGGTGGATGCTCCATCCCTGGAGACATTCAAGGCCAGGTTGGACGAGGCCCTGAGCAACCTGATCTAGTTGGAGATATCCCTGTTCCTTGCAGGGGGGTTGGACTAGATGACCTTTGAAGGTCTCTTCCAGCCCTAACCATTCTATGAGTTTACTGCAGTTTCTTTAGTTTATCTCGAGTGCAGATGCCACATGGGAGTCAAATCATAAGAGGGAACAATAATTTGCCTCACCAGGTACATCATAATTCCTGCACGTTAGGTCATGACTGAATCGTGCCTCCTCTCTGCTTTGTCTCACGCTGCAAGCAAACGGGTTATTTTTCTTCTGCCTGGAAGCCTGGGTGATTGCTCAGCTCCTGGCTGGCTGCAGAGGTGCCCTTCATCTGCTTTGTGGGTGCCCTGGGGCCAGCCCTGCGTTCCGGCGTTGGCAGATGAAGTTATTTGTGTTCTGTTGGATTGGAAGAAGTTTCTGATTTCGTTGCATTTATAAAAAAGACTCTGTATTAAAGCAGCTAAGAAAAAGTGTGTGTATTTACCTTTACTTCGAGCTGTGGGTATAATCGTTTTAAGAACTTAAATCACGGTGTAGTTAACCACATTTTGGGGTAATTAGTGCACCAAGTACACTCTAAAATTTTTGCAACTCTGCTTAATAAGCGTGCATCAGTCAGATGTTCATTTCTCTTACAGGATGGCAAACCAGTGAAGAAATGGGTTAATATGAGTCAGGAGTTCATCAATCAGCATACAGTGGAACACAAAGGCAAACAAATTTGTAAATACTTCCTTGAGGGGAGGTGTATCAAGGTAATTACGCGCCGCGTCTGTCGGTTGTCTTTGCTGTGCGGAGGGGGAGAATATGCTCCGTTCTTTTCTGACTTCAGCTGATGGGAAGAGAACTTGTATGTTGAAACTCGGTGTTTTGTGTGTTTGTAGATAAATGCCAACAGAAGTACTTGTGGAAAAACGTCCCCTTCTGTTACGCGTTTGGAATTATAACAAAATGAATGTGTTTGCTTATTAGTGTGTACGGTTAAAACATCTGTGATAGTATCATAAACTTGCACTGACAATGTATCATATGGAAACACACAAATCATACAAGTACAAAGTCTGTAAATAGGCAATGCTTTCTGAATGTCTTAGATTATTTCTCTTTTATGTGCTAATGCTAATTTCGAAACATTGAAGGAATTGCTTAATTATGCCAAATTATTTCTCCCTCTCAAGTGAAAAATGGGGTTGTAGTAATAGTTCCCCTACCAAAGAATCGTCTTCCTTCAGGCAGCAAGTGGAAGGCAGCAGAAAGAAGAGAATGCTTTTCAGAGCAGTCAGCTGTCAAGCAAAAGCTCTAGCAAGATAGTCTCTTATTACATAAAAATAATTTGCTGTTGCTTCGTTTTGAAGCTTATGCTGCTGTGGAGTTGAGTCCTCCGATGTGAGACTAGTTGAGTCAGTTATAAAACACATTAAGGAAAAGCTGCCTGCTTCCCGAAGAAGGGAGTGCACCATTTACGTTTGGTTCCTCTGTGTGTTTAGAGGTGGAAGAGTTTCCTTTCGTTTTCAAACAGTCAAAGTGAAAATGAGTGTGCTTTTTTCCCAAAACCAGAGGGAAACTGGGAACAATGCATTTGTTGCTGCTTTTGTATATTTTATTGTACCTTGCTCAGTGAGATGAGTATTTGCTGCCACCTTCAGTTTTAAACAAGTGGCTGAAAGAGCACTTAGTGTGTTGTTCATGAAAATAAATACAAAAAACACGCAAAAAACCTCTCCAGCTAATGTATAACATGATACGGTTGATATAAACTTGAGATTATTTGGACTCTATTTTTCCTACGTGGAAGAGTCTTAAGAGTTTGCTTGTTGGACTTTTAAATTCTCACACACACCCGTAAAACAGAATCAGGTTTTCCATTTATTTGGAAAAGAATTTCAGTAAAGTATTTGTTTAAATGCTTTTTTGATGCAAATTGCTAGGTGGAGGCAGAGGAGAGAACTGGTATTGTAAGGCCAGCTTGTTTTCTGTGACCACTACAGATATTCCTGGCTGAATCCCGATTCAGGAATTGTTTCTCTTTGTCCAGGCCCCCCTATTCACAGTTTTTAGGGACACGCTTATGATGCAGTGCTGTGTTAGTAAAGATAAAAAGTTTAAATTCAGCTGAGGAGGATGTTTTTCTTTAAATATGAAATGGAATTACTCTGTGTTTCGGATGGATAATGTTTTTTCTTGTGTTTTTTTTTGTTTGTTTGTAGGGAGAGCAGTGTAAATTTGATCATGACGCAGAGATTGAAAAGAAAAAGGAAATCTGCAAGTTTTACATACAGGGTTACTGCACCAAAGGAGAGAACTGCATTTATTTGCACAATATCCTTTAAAAAAAACCCCAACTTGAATTAAACTGAAATTTATATTTACTCTTAGTTGATGTAAGTTATTTTTAAGGGTAGCTATTTCTTTTCTTAAGAGACTATACCAAAAACTATGTCAATTTACCCCAAGAAGATTATTTCTCTGCTCAAATACTTAGGAGGAGAAAATATGTATAAAATTGCTGGTTTGTTTTTGGTTTTAAGATTTTTGGATGTTTTAAAAGATAAAACCCCTTAAAGTTAGATGATGCATTTGTCCACGTACTTTTAAAACTCTGACCTGTTCTTGTTGTATAGCGCTTGTGTTTTATTCCAGGATTGAGACCTTCATCTTTTTAATCACAATTTTAGAATTAAGTCAAAAAGTAATGTTAAAGCCACAATAATGTAATTGTTAGTAGAATGTTAAATGATACTAAGTAAGTTGGTTGTTAGCTTTCAAAGTTCTTAACCATATTCTTCACCAGTACTTAATCTTTGGGAAGTTTATGTACTGGTGAAGAACTGAAGGAGAGTCGACAGCTGAATTTCATAAACTTGCCCAATGGTGCAAACTGGGAATCCTTAACACATTGCTTACATGAATTCCCTTGCAAGTTCTACCATACAGGAGCCAAGTGCTATCAAGGAGATAAGTGCAAATTTTCTCATGCTCCCCTGACTGCAGAAACAAAAGAGCTGCTGGATAAGGTGAGTGATTCGTAGTCTGTAAAGACAAGGTTTGTTGCTAGAAAGAATAGGGGAGAGGTTGCTGGGAATTTCCGTGGGATTCTTGAGGAGTGTGATGGTAAACAGTTAATGATGTTGAGCTTCCTTGGGAGTCTGTGGGCAGGTTCGATACCAGGAATTCCATTTGCCATCACTTGTTCAGTTATTTTTCAGCTGTATCAGACTTTTTTTATTTTCACAACTCAAGTTTCTGCCCATGAGCTTTCTTTTGCGTCCCTTTCTGTGGAAGTCTTCGTGTACTCTCTAAAAAGGAGTGTGGCTTCTGTGCTGTCTGCCTTCAGCTGTTAGATACCATCTGACTGACTGCTGCACGCAGGGTGGAGAAAGGAATGAGGTGCCTCCTCTGAATGATTCATGAAATCTTCACCTTTATGTTAAGCAGGATATTTGTGTCTCTCTCCAGTTACTGTAGCACAAGCCTTAACAGAAAAGTGGCCTGAATTTAACACTAGGAACGTTATGAATCTGAAGTCCTTCAATTTCAATTTCAAGGGGTAATGGTTTTAAAATAGAGGGAGGTAGATTCAGATTGGATATTAGGAAAAAATTTTTTACCATGAGAGTTGTAGAACACTGGAACAGGTTGCCCAGAGAGGTGGTGGATGCTCCATCCCTGGAGACGTTCAAGGCCAGGTTGGACGAGGCCCTGAGCAACCTGATCTAGTTGGAGATATCCCGGTTCCTTGCAGGGGGGTTGGACTAGATGGCCTTTGAAGGTCCCTTCCAGCCCTAACCATTCTATGATTCTATGATTCTGTCACTTAAAATTACTATTTGAAGGAA